ATATATAAGAATATGCCTGGAGGACCTGCTGGTATCGGGCACCGTAGGGGGCTTGAGATGAGTACTGAGATATCCCTTTCTCCGGTCTGCTATCCAAGTCCACACTGGAGAGCGGGGGAGCATGGCAAGGCAGCAGGAAAGACTCCCATGTCAAGCGGAGACTCGGTGTGGAGGTTCAGTGCCAAGGAGAGACTCTGGTACATCAGCTAAATGGAGGTCCCTCGAGTGCTGGAATTCCAGTGGTGCGGACTGGCTCAGTGCTACTAACGGTGATGGGGGAAAGATATTCTCTGGACTGGTTTTTCAGGTACAGGAAGAGGCATTGGTATAGATGGGACATGACATACCAGTGGTGCCTTGGAGTGTTTACTCCTGTCCTTCTCCTGAGGTGCTGTTGACTTGGTGCCCACGCCCATTGGGTCTGTGGGCGCATCAATGGTACCTACCGCTATAGTCTTCCTTGAGCTGTTGGTACCAGGTTTAGCCCGTCTCGGTGCCGATGATACTGAGGATACTGAGCATGTCAGGGATCGTTTGCGGCTAGCTCATGGATCACTGTGGGGACTCCCCGCTCTCTTTTTCAACTTATAAGAGGGGTCGGTGGCTGATTTCTTCACCCCATGGCCCTTTAATGTTGAGGGCTGTGGGGAAGACTCACGTCTTGGCGTGGGTCCAGAGAAGATCTCAGAGCCGCCTCCACGAATATAATCTTTTGCCTTAGCTCTCTGTCCTTGTGAGACCGAGATCTAAGCTACTGGCAAAAAGTCCACTTTTGAATGTGTCCTTTCCCAAGGCAATGAATGCACCATGAGTGCGTCTGCAATGAGGATAGCCTCATTGCAGGAGAGGCACTTCTTGAAGCCCAGAGAACCAGGCATGCCTCATTTGGGGGGAAGGGTCCCCAACAAGAAGGGTGGGAAGAAAGAAAATAAATTCTATCTATACACACCTACATCTATCTACATATAAGTATAGATATATTTTAGAATATAAGGAAAAAAATAAAACACTAGATTACTACTAAAAACTAGGCTCGAGGCTACAAAGAAAGCATGAGGTAATAGTCGCTAACGGACTGCTAATAGCTCTGTCTCTAGTCAGGTGCGGTAGAGGAGGAACTGACGGGTTAGCCCGCGTGCACTGACTAGCCTCGAGGCAAGGCATGAAGTTCTCTGATCAGCTGCGCAGGAATACAAATACACCTACAATGGAGCTCTCATACAGTGGAGCACCCACAGGGACACTACTTGAAGAAGAACCACTTGGTAATAGCAACCATAACGTAATTAAATATAACATCCTTGGGAGGAGGGGAATACCAAAGGAATCCACCACAGTAGCATTTAACTTCAAAAAGGGGAAGCTAGTTAAATGGAAATTAAAAGGAACAGTAACAAGAGTGAAATGCCTGTAAGCGGCAGGGAGACTAATTAAAAACACCATAGTAGAGGCTCAAGCTAATGTTATTCCCACAGCATTCTTCCCCCCGCCCTCCGCCCTGCAAAAATGGCAAGAGGACCAAAAAAAAAATAAAAAAATGCCACCATGACCTAACACCAGATCAAAAGAAACAGAGGCAAAAAGGCAACCTTTAAAAATTGGAAGTCAAATCCTACTGAGGAAAAGAGAAAGGAGCATAAACTCTGGTAAATCAAGTGTAAAAATATAATTAGGTAGACCAAAAAAAGAATTTGAAGAGCAACTAGCAAAAAACAAAAACTAACAGCAAAAACTAACAGGAAGCCTACCAAACAATCAGTGGGGCCACTGGATGATCAAGATGCTAAAGGAGCACTCAAGGAAGACAATGCCATTGCAGAGAATCTAGATGAATTCTTTGCCTTGGTCTTCACTGCAGAGGATGTAAGGGAGATTCCCACTTTGGAACCATTCCTTTTAGGTGACAAATCAGAGGAACTGTCCCAGATTGAGATGTCAATAGAGGAGGTTTTGGAATAAATTGGTAAATTAAATGGTCACCCTGAACAGATATTCACCGAAGACTTCTGAAGGAACTCAAATACTAAATTGTGAAACTACTAACTGGTATCACTTAAATCAGCCTCTCTACCAGATGACTGGATGATAGCTAATTGTAATGTTAATTTTTAAAAAGGCTTCAGAGGCAATACTGGCAATTACAGGCCAGTAAGCCAAACTTCAGTACCAGGCAAATTGGTTGAAACTAATAAAGAACAGAATTATGAGACGCACTCATGGAGAATACTCAACACAGCTTTGTAAAGTGAAATCATGTGTGTCAGAATTCTTTCATGGTGTCAGCAAACATGTGGACAAGGGTGATCCAGTGGATATAGTGTCTTGGACTTTCAGAAAGCCTTTAACAAGGTCGCTCACCAAAGGTTCTTAAGAGAAGTAAGGAGTGATGGGATAAGAGGGAAGGTCCTCTCATGAGTCAGTAACAGGATAAAAGATCAGCTAGGAATAAATGGCCAGTTTTCACAATGGAGAGAGGTGAATAGCAGGGTCCCCCAGTGCTGTTCAACATATTCCTAAATGATCTGAAGAAAAGGGGTGAACAGTGAGGTGGCAAAATTTGCAAACAATACAAAATTACTCAAGATAGTTAAGTTCAAACCTGACTGCAAAGAGTTACAAAGGGATCTCACAAAACTGGGTGACTGGAGAACAAAATGGCAAATGAAATTCTGTTGATTAGTGCAAAGTAATGCACATTGGAAAACATAATCCCAACAATACATATAAAATGATGGTGTCTAAATTAGCTGTTACCACTGAAGAAAGAGATCTTCGTGTTATCAAGGATGGTTCTCTGAAAACATCTGCTCAATGTGCAGCGGCAGTCAAAAAAGCTAACAGCATGTTAGGAGCCATTAGGAAACGGTTTCATAATAAGACAAAAAATATCATAATGCCACTATATAAATCCATGGTATATCCACACCTTGAACATTGCCTGCAGATCTGGTTGCCCCATCACAAAAAAAGATATATTAGACTTAGAAACAGCTGTATCACCGATCAAATCCGCAAAATTACACAGACGTATGTAATGCTATTTGGGTCACTCATAAGTACTTGCCCAAAACACACAGTACTTGAATAAGCAGAACTACAGGAATTTGTTGTAGTTTAGAGTGGTTTCCAAAACAAGCAATATGTCATTAGTTTTCATCAACTTACTACCTCTAAATCCAGTAACCTTTTCAAGTCTATTTGTAAGTCTAATAAGTTCCATTTAGCAACAACAATATTAAAAAAATACTCCAGAACAAATTAATTCTCTCAGCTACTGAAATTGAACCGTATTCTTTTATTTTGATAAAACGTACTAAAGCTTACAGGAAATAAAATCATTGTGGGATCTCAAACTAGCCTGACAAAATAATCAGAGGGGAAAATATCTGCGGTAACAAAATAACTACTTTAAATGACTGGGTCTCAAAATGCAAAGACTAATAAAGAAAATTAAATATATCATAGCTTGATCTTTCAAATAAACTAATATAGTAAAAGCAAATTTATGGCAAATATTTCAAGATCAATTGTGCATCAAGGACATTGCTGACTAAATATTTTAAATGGCATTATTTTCTTCTCACGCAACAAATGAAGGGGAAATAACATGGTGCTTCCCAAACAGACAATGTGCAAAGTCAGCTGTAAACATGACAGAACAGTCATTTTTCACAATCTGTAGGACTGGCCTAAAGCTTTGAAGGATTCCATGTGCAACGTGAGGCTCCTTCCCTGCTCACTCCCTGTCTGTGAATGGGCCTCTAAACCACTGCTTCCCCATGTCATCTACTTCTCCACCTGCCAATTAGCTCTAAAGGCTTCTCAAATACAAGACAGCAAGCATACAAGAAGCAATCTGGTGTTAAACTAGAATACAGATGAGCAGGTAAGGAACAGTGAAGCTGAGAGGAGGGAGGCAGGCGGGCACCAGACCTCAGTCTGGGCATTCCACCACCAGCTTTCTTCCTGGAATTGTCAGGTGGCAGTGGAGTGCAATGTTCTACAGCAGTGGTTCTCAATCAGGGGTATGTGTACCCCTGGGGGTACTCAGAGATCTTCCAGGAGGTACATCAACTCACCTAGATATTTGGCTGGTTTTATAACATGCGACATAAAAAGCACTAGCAAAGTCAGTACAAACTACATATCATACAGACAGTGACCTGTTTATATTTCTCTGTATTCTATACACTGAAATGTAAGTTCAATATTTATATTCCAATTGATTTTTTTATAATTATATAGTAAAAATGAGAAAGTAAGACATTTTTCAGTAACAGTGTGCTGTGACACTTTTGTATTTTTATGTCTGATTTTGTAATCAAGTAGTTTTTAAGTGAGGTGAAACTTGGGGGTACGCAAGACAAATCAGACTCCTGAAAGGGGTACAGTAATCTGGAAAGGTTTGAGAGCCACTGTTCTACACAACCACACTGCTATCAAAGCCCTATGGCTACCAAAAGCAATACGCAAAAGACAAAGAGAGGAATGCGAATCAGAGAACACTAGAAAGTAAGGGAGAGTTCTGCATTGGTAGGTAGATGGATAAGTCTATTGAAATAATCTATGGGGGCAAGTAATTGCATTAATAAAGTAACTAATGGAAATGACTAGATTCCAAAGTATACTAAGACTCAAAGAGAAGGTATTTTCTGTCTCCCATTTCCAGTACCATACTCTACATATAAAGTGGCAGATATATGGTTTTTTCTGCAGTGAAAATGGTGAGATAGGGTACAGATAATTATTCTACTGTCTTCTTCCCCTCTCCCCCTTCTCACGGAGTTTGTAGGCTTCAAACCTTTTGTAACCCTTACCACTCTTCACTCTGATGAATGGCAGTTTTCATGTACAACTTTCAGCATAGCAAAAAATCCAGGGAACAAAGGCATACAGCGTTTTTCCACTAATTGAACAAAAGTAGTTTTGCCAGTGACACATTTTGCATATTTCTAGATACAAATTTACAAATATCTTGATGACAGTATAAACATTCTTACGCTATATACTCTTGCTCATCCTCCGCCTGAAAGTGGTATGTTCTGTTATCTGAAATACAAACAAACAAAAATCTTTCTAATGTTGAACACATTTGACAGATTTGAAATTAATTTTAAGATGCCAAAACAGCATCTGTTACCAAAATATATTCAGCAAGCAAGGACATATGTTAACATAAGTCATTAAGCCTATGACATCTCTATTTTCAGTTACTAACTTTTTAATAAAGCAACAGAACTTTTTAAATAAGAAACAGAACTGTTGACAGTATAAGTCATTTGTATCAAATGAGGGTCTGGTGACAGATATAGTTAATGGAATACAGAAGAGTTGAGGCAGTACAGTTTTTGAGTTACATTAAATTCACTTACTTTTTTTTTTGTACAGCCAGCATATTTTATTCAATTTTATGCCACATCTTAGTCAACTTGTTGAAAACAGACACCCCTGTTTTTATAGAACCCATAGAAAAACACTATATGGGGCATATTCTGCCTTGTAAAATCCCCTTTGAAGTAAAAGGAGTTGCACAAGACAAAATTAGGGCAAAATTAGCCCAAAATAGGTACATTTTGTTTGGAAAAAATAAAATCAATACGAAGAAAATGTTATTGTTTTTAATCACAATCAAAATTAATTTCTATGACTAAGGCTAGGATTTAGTCATGGGTATTTTTAGTAAAAGTCACAGACAGGTCATGGGCAAAAAACAAAAATTCAGGCCCCAGATCTGTCCATAACTTATACTATAAATACCCCGACTAAATCTTGGGGCAGCTGCTGCTGCGGGAGGTGCACCCCAGGGGACTGCTGCTGTGCGGAGCATGCCCAAGGGGGCTGCTGCTTTGTGGGGGGTAGGGGCACAGCTGATCTAGCCACCCCGGGGACCGTTACTTGGGCTGTTGCGGCTGGCTGCGGAGCTGCCCGAGCGGCTGGCTGCAGAGCCACTCCAGCAGCGGCTGGTGTGGCTGACCCCAGGGCCACCTGAGCAGCTGGCCCCGAAGCCAGCTGCTTTGGCGGCCCTGGGGTCAGCCACACTGGCCGCTGTAGAAGTCAAGGAGGTCGCGGACAGTCAGGGAATCCCTATCATGGATCCCTATCTATGATACAATGCAAGATAGACAGGCACAAGTATTACTGAATGGTTGAAGGCTATCTTTTATGAAGGAGATGAAACTGAAGTTCCACACACAGTATAGGGGGTATTTTGAACAAAGACTGATAGACTGTTAAAATTGCAGAATAATTACCTGACAATCTAAGCAAGCACGTTCACGCATAGTTGCTATCTTCATAACAGTTAATTTTGTGCACAGTGCATCTTATGGTTTGCAACGGATACACAGTATAGATATTAGAAAACTTTCCATAGGAAGATGTATATAGTCATGGTCCTTGAGTCAAAATCAGAGCTGGATCCAAATATCCATTAGGAGCTTAATTTTGCACTTTAGACTCATTTCTAGTTAAAATAGAACCTTGTAATTATTTTGCTAAACAATAACATTCTGTAAAATCCCAGCCAATGGACTAGTTGATAATGAATGGTGTAAATATTTATTCACTTAAAATGTCACATACGTGATATCAGATCAAAAGACTTCTTATCTTCTGCATTTGGCTTCACCTGGCAGGTTAGTAAATTCAGTTTGGCAGGTTGCCTGTTGGACTAAAGAAAAAAAAATTACCTATAGCAGTCTTGATTTAGGGCCCTTTTCCCACTGAAAGGTATTTTTTCCATTTCTTTTATGTATGGCTATAGTCACATTTTTATCAGTATGGATGGAGTAGTACAAGAATAACATAAGCCCCTTTTTAGCAATTCATTTTTTTGATAATTTCAGAAGTGTCTGAAGAAATGAAGATGTTTTTAAAAGTCCCAATATTTAATTTTCCTGTTGTGTTTAATAACACAAAGATCCAATTGTTATAATTAAGCATTTTTGTGTTACATAATGAATACATATATGAATGCTTACGTTTTCCTTGCATTTTATTTCATTATTTCATACAAGTAATTGAAAATAGCTAAAAAGTAACAAAACTATCTTGATAAATATGTACACACACTACATAAATACACACATTTCCCTTACTGGTGTCATTTCTTCAACTAACTGGTAAAGAGGAGGTGAAACCAAATTAACTATGCAGGCTGGCTCTGTTTTTCCAGCCAAGTTTGGTGGTTGAGCTGAATGTAGGTCCTGTGTAAATACAGAAGGGATTATTGCCGACCACTGCTTTAGTAAATATGTGTTCATAATGTGCTTTGTTAAATCTTTTTCTGTATTTTCACTTACCTGACTGTGGCTCTGGTTCAGGAAGGTACTTAGGCATATGCCTAGCTTTAATGTATCCATTGACCTCAACTGACTACTCACATAATCAAAGTATGTTTAAGTACCTTCCTGAACGGGCTAATATGAGCACACAGGAAGCACAATACATCTTTTCATTGATCTATACTGAAACTCTTCTGTACCCAAATCCTCAAGAGCTAGCATCTCTGTCAGCTTTCAAAATACTCCTCAGGGTAAGTACAGTAAGTTTAAATAAACCTTGTTTGAGTGAACTACCACCAAAAAGGTTTTGGTTGTCCCCTGTAGTCCTAAATATTGTAAATAAAATAATGACCAGAAGAGCTGTCACCAGGCTTATGGTCATTAAAAAGTGGTATTAAATGTGAATGCTCAAGTCAGATGTAGAGAATAAGGCTTCAAATCAAATGCAAGAACAAGTTAGGGGACCTTCAAGAAGCATATTACATGGGTCTCAAAATATCCACAGTTAACATCCCTTTCATCCCCCATAGAGCATGCAAGCAAAACTAAACAAAAAAAAAAAATAGATCGATTAGATTTAGGAAGGATGATTTCTCCATTTCCCACTCCCCAAACTACAATAGAATTTTGCTAATCCACACATTGTATAATAACCATTTCTCAGAAAAATGTAGCAGAAGCTTAGTGAAGTTTATTAAGATTTTGCTATTTTATAAAATATACCACATTATAATTGTACAACTGGGTAATCTTGGTTTTGCTGGTGACATCCTCCTGTGTTCAACATATTGCTTAATGGAAGAAAAGACGCAGATTTTGGCAGACACTGCAAAACAAGTTTATCAACAAGAGGAAGACAAAATATTTGGCCATCAATGTCCCGAGAGCAACCATCAGAGCAAAATGTGACACTAGAAGAAGTCAGCCATTTTACATATCTAGGGAGTGAGATGTGCAATGATGGTGACACCATGCTAGATATCAAGCAATGAATATCAAAGGCAGCAAACAACTTTCACAAACTTGAAAAGATTTAGAAAAGTAGCACAATTGGCACAGATACAAAAATACAAATTTTTTACCACCACCAAGTCTATCCTCCTTTACAAAGCAGAGTTGTGGAAATCTGCAGCAGAAATTGATAAGAAGATCAACTAATTCCAAAGTGAATGCCTGCGGAAGATCTTCAGAGTTCATTGGAAAGAGTTTCTTGCAACATCAGAAACCAAGTAGAGTAAATAAACTTAAAGCACCAAACATGGTAAGAAAATGACGATGAACATATTTAGGACACACTTTAAGGATGCCACCAACATGACTTCCACATCAAATGATATTATGGACACCACCTGGGAAGAGAAAAAGAGGGCAACCTAGAGAAACATTACACGGAACAATAGAGAAAGAAGCCAAATCCATCAACATGACAATCAAGAGGCCTGAACAGACCAGCACATCCTCTGTGGGGCAGGGGTTTTTTGGGGTGGGCACTGTCTCCTCTACCCTGACCTCCAAGCAGGTCTCATGCACTGAGCCAGGTGCTGCCACATGTTGCTCTGAAGTGGCGGCAGATGAGTGGTGCGAAGGGGGCATCGTCATCACTGGCATGCCCCACGCACTCCAATAATGCCACTGACTGTGCTGTCAAGGCGGCACCGTAGACGTTGGCGTGGCCTCAGGTGGCCAATCATGCTGGTGGGGCCTTGGCGAGGGCTGAACAGCCCTTCCGTTCCAGAGAAATCGTCTTCCGGTGACCTTGGTGGGGCCGTAGCTGCCTGTGTCTGCCTGCTGACCGTCGCCATTGGAGACCCGTGTTTGGAGTGGGACGATCAGTGCTGGTATCGAGAGGACTGGTGCTGGGGGGACCAGAATCGCGACAGGTAGTGCTCCCATGGGGCAGGCGACAGAGATCTGAGCTGAGAAGATGACCAGTGGGAGGGCGAACGGTGCTGGTAGTACGGAGACAGGCGCCTCTCCCTAGGCAATCCATGTCGAGACCGTGGGCGAGCCCCAGAGCATCTTAGCTGCAATACTGGAGATCTGTGGCGCGGAGATGGAGAGCGCTGCCTTGTCTTGGGGGATCAGCAGCGCTCCATTGCCCTCTGAGGGGTCTTAGCGGCTGGCTTCTCCTCGTAGGGAGCCTTTGCCACTTCCTGTGGCACGTGGGCCTCTGCTCTTTCAGTGCCGTGGGGAGTTTGGGAAGGCGTTGATGCCGCCAGAAGTTTGGGTCCCCTACCGCTCCTGGGAGTCGGTGGTGGATCCTTTAAGGGGCTAAGGGCCCCAACCAGGAAGGCACGTCCAAGTGGCTCCGGAGTGGCAGGATGGCCTGAACTGTGTCCTTTGCCTGATGCCCAATGGCCTTTCTTGCCCAGTGCCGGGGAGCCGTGCTTCTTCGTTTTCTTTCCGGGCACCAGCAATGGCGAGCGGTGCCGGGGGTGCGCTGCACACCGAGACCGAGGCACTAGTCGAGTCTTGGCAGGACAGTTCAGAAGCTGGACAAAGGGCAGTCTCCAATGAGGAGAGCCTGCAAACGAAAATTTTTACAAATACACTTGTCCTTCACATGTGATTCCCCAAGCACTTGCGGCAGCTGATGTGGGGGTCACTTACAGGCACAGGCCTGTTACAGTCCGCACAGGGCTTAACCCCGGAGATCGGGGCATGCCGTGCCTGGGGCGAAGTCCCCGTTGGGATTCTAACTCCCAACTAGACTGATCAACTACTTAACACTAAATACTATAAACTACTATTTACAAAGCCCTAAGGCTTAAAGTCAGAAGAGACAAAACTGCTAGCTCTTGCTATGCAAGGAAAGGCTCTCCAAATAACCAACCTGATATACCGACACATGAGTGCGATACTCAAGGGAGTGCCACTGCTGACCCTATGGATAGTGCTAAGGCAAAAATCTCCGATGACCTACTGCGCACACCTAGAATGGAATCGACATGAGCAAGCACTCAAAGAAGAAACAAGCTATTTCCTGGCAATGTCCCAAACTTTGCTTCCCTGCAGCTACTCTAAAAGCCTTGGTTTTAAGATTTATTTGGCAGCTCATCTATCCCTATCCAGCTAACTCACCTTACATAGGAAGTGACCAGCATAATAAGAATTTTGCTCTATGTAATAGGTAGCAAGAAATAACTAAGTAATAAGAGAGCTGACATCTTACCCTGGACATTGATCAAAAAGTCTCTGGTCTTGATGGGGGTACAGAGTCTGAATTCCCAAGTGTCTCACTGAACACAGATGTCTTGAATGGTAGCTCCATGCTCTGTGCTATCAGACTGGTTTATTTACAGTTTTAGGGATAGGGCTGGAAATTTACAGTAGATGAAAAAACCTGGCATTTATAACTTGTATTGTGGTATCAACTAGACTCTTCAATCAGATCAGGGCCTCATTATACTAGGTGATGTGCAGTTATACACTGAGAAGACTATTCCTGCCACAAAGAACTGGCAGTCTCACTGAGAGCTTGCAATCTAATTGATATCATCACTAGATCCAGACTTAGAGGCAAACACTGTGCAACTGTCTCTCAAAGCTCTGGCAATGCCTCTCAGTCTGGACCTGCAATACCACAATTTTAAATTATCTCCCTTTGGCAAAACACATGCTAAATGGCATGCTAAGCACATGCTAAATGGCAAAACAAAAGCCATGAATATTCTGTGATGATTAAGCTTTATATTTTCACAGTGATATGGATTCCAAAGCATTATATAAACTTTAAACTCTTTCAAAATCCTGCCCAATATTTTATATATGTTATTAGGGCCTCTTAAGCTTTGGGATTTGGACAGACACCCAAAAAGTTTGGATACTTACTTGACCCTAACAAACTTTGCCCCACAAGCACCCACATTCCTATGTCTCCAGACAAACTTTTATCCTCAAAAGGTGTTCCTTACCTTCAGTTTTCTTGGGTGGAGGAGGAGGAGAGGAAGCCAGTGGGCAGTTATCTCCTCTCAATGGCATCTTTTAGGGGAAGAGGGAAATTATGCGGGCCATCCCTAGAATTTCAGAGGAGGATGGCACATCCATAGCTGCTGGGAATCTTTAGTGGGCATGTCATGCTTGCTTTCTTGCTTGCTTGCTTCCTTCCTTCCTAGGGTAAGAATTTGGCTCCCCACTCCCCCAGCCACTCCTGGGAATGGAGGGGTGGAGGAAGTATGGAGCTTCCTCCACCTTTGTGTCCTTTATCTACTACCATCTCTGCAACCCCATCCAGGATTCTCTAGTGGGCATCTCTCAACATATGAAGAGAAGTTCACATTGTTCGTGGCCTTTCAGTTTCCAGTGTGGAGGAGGATCCTGTGAGAAGAAAGCATCTCCAATCTCAAAGTGGGAAGGGTTTGGGGGTTTCCTCTCTCCCCAGGTTACT